TCCAGTGAAGGGTCGATCCGGTTTCTCGCGGATGAAGGCTAATTCTAATCCGTAGCATTTGGTGAGCTTCATGATTGAAAATATGCAATTATTGATATTTGAATAAGTTGAATCATCACAGGCAAGAATAAGCATGAGGTCGCGTGTGTTCATGCAGCTTAAAAGAACGGAAGCTTTAATGACTGACCATATGTATAATTACAATAAGTCGAAACAAGTTCGATTATCGGTTTTGATGATCACAGACAGTTTAATCTGAACCAGTGCGTTATGGAGGAAGTACGATGGGCACGGGCGGCATTTGATACAAGATAATTGAGATACCTTTGATACATATGAAACACCACTTTAAAATATATTTATCTAAAAAATCTACAAATAATAGAGAAGTGTTATATGTCATGTCATTTTATATCTCTATTTTGGTTCAAATCATGCTATTTCGGTTGATGCCATCATTTGCACATTTCTTGCTTGTTTCAGAATCAGAGTTAAATTTAACAGCAAGCTTCAATCGGACTATGATTTAATTTTACATTATTATGGTTCTGAACCAATTCGACTCGCGAAGAGTTCAGTAGAGTACAAGTTCAATTTCCACTGTGGCCATAAAACGGAGAATTCCCTTGCGAAGCGACTGACAGATGCTTGTGTTGCTGATGAATGGGCTGAGATCGGCCAAGAACGGCACATCACTCAACACAGCGAGCCGTCCAATACAAATCCAATGGCCCCAGCTTGGACTCAGGATTTTAGTGTGTCGCTCAACAGTCGGCCACTAAACAACACTGCCATCATGCGATTTGTGCTGACGTTGCCATGCTGAAGGCCGCAACAAGCACATGCGTAACCACATTTCATGATCATATCGCCGACTAAAACGCATCGCACCAACCGCATTTCACAAATCTGCACGATGACCCAAGTTTCATCCGTGTCGTCAGTTGCCTCGAGCGTCCACGTCGCTCACAAAACGCGCGATGTAACACAGCGCTGGCCCGGCGGTGACCAGCGCTGGCCCGGCGGTGACCGGTGGCGTGCACCTGTGCCCGCAGCGACTGGACAGCGACGGCATGGAGCTGCCCCAGACCGTGTTCTGCGACCTGTCCGTCTTCAGGCAGTCCAAGCTTGACGCCCGCAACATCAGCGAAGAGATGGCTGCCTACCTGGCCAGCTCGATGGGCGGAACCACCTTCACCTTCTCCGGCTTCGCGCAGGACGCCGACAAGCAGGTCAGCGAACTGCATGGAATGCGTGCGTGCGCGCGGGCGAGCGTGCGTGTATGTGAATACCTCGGACTGGCCGGCCCATAGTCAACCGCGTCTAAAAAGCGAAGTTGTTTGTATGTCCTTCCAAGTGGCGTGGACTGGCATCGCTTGAATATCTAGCCGTTTGGTTGACGTCCAACTAAGACGAGTGATGCGAGGGCACGTTGTCGAAGCTTACCATGCCGATATTCAAGATTATCGGGTCAGAACGCGTCTGGGTGAGCCGTCAGCTGCCGCCGTCCTTTTGTCATCCAAACGTGCTGTCCCTGGAGTACCTAAGGCCGTCGCTCCAGCGTCGTCGCCGCGATCCGCGCTCTCAGCGTGCGATCCCGGGTCAGGACCATCCCGGCCTCCCTGCAGGCGCGGTTGTACCAGGAGTACCAGGCCCTCCTCCGGCCAGGAGAAACCTACCTCGAGCTGATCGATTCGCTGTCGCCGGTCTGCACTGAAGTCTTCATATTCGCCGTCATAGGAGACGAGTCTATGGACGGCGAGCGGTTCTGCAACGACTTCGTAACGCTCGTCTACACAATACGCGGCCGGTGCTTCAAGGTGGCCGGTGAGTGGCAGGAGCGGGAGCAGCGCCTCCAATCGGGGTGTTCTCAGTCGAGGCAGACGGGTCATAGCCAGATTGTGCGTGCGTGCGTGCGTGCGTGCGTGCGTGCGTGCGTGCGTGCGTGCGTGCGTGCGTGCGTGCGTGCGCATGTGCGAGTGTGAGTGTGAGTGTGAGTGTGTGTGTGAGTGTTGTGAGAATTGTGAGTGTGAGTGTTGCGAGTGTGTGCGTGTGCGTGTGCGTGTGCGTGTGCGTGCATGCGTGTGTTCGAAAGACACCACGCACCGACCCTTGCGAACCTCCACAGACAGCAGACTGGCCTTCCCCAGCCTGCAGACTGTCACCCAGCCTACTGACTGACACTCCTCCGGGCGGCAGACGCGCGTCAGGGGGCTGACGGCAAGCAGTTCGGCTTGGAGTTCATGCTGTCGCTGCCCCCCTCCGAGTTTCCAATGCTCGACCGCACCGTCATCACCGGCTGCATGGGGACGCGCATCGGCGTCGAGGCGTTGCTGGACGACCGCGGCGCGCTGCCGCACCTGCGCGTCTACACGCACTCGGTGGCCATGTCGCCGGAGGCGTCCTTCGAGATGCGCGTGACGCGCGAGGTGACCGACCGGCGCGGCCTGCGCGACACCGTCTTCCCGGCCCTTCACCTCTGCGCGGAGGCCAACGGCAGCCGGCCGGCAGCGTCGGCCGCCAACTGTCCGGTGCTGCGGCTGGCCGCGGCCGTGGCGGACGGGTGCGGCTGCCACTGGCTCAGCCTGCCGCGGGTGGAGGCCGCGCAGGACCTGCCGCTCTGCTCGCCGCGCGACGTCGTCAGCTGCGTCCGCGACGTGGAACGGCGCATGACGCCGGCCGACTGCCCGCCCGCCTGCGTCGAGAACAGCTACACCACGTCGGTGATTACGGCGAAAATGGGCCCGGCAATCACTAATCAGGCGATGACGGTCCATCCGGGGGGCGACAAGCTGTACGCACGCGTCTTCTTCACGTCGCTGCAGTATCGCCATGCGCGCCAGTGGTGTCAGACCGGCTCCGAAATGCTGGCCGAGTTCGGCGGTCACATGGGCCTCTTCCTCGGCGTGAGCGTCGTCACAATCTGCGAGGTGCTGGCCGCGCTCTTCGGCTGCCTGTGGGACCTCTGCGCGCGTCGCCAGCGCCTCGTCGGGCACCAGCCCCAGCGCCAGCCCCAACACCAGCCTCAGCACCGACTTCAGCTCCAGCTCGGCGGGCAGGGGAAGCAGCCGGTGTCGGCGAAAAAACCGCACCATGCAGATTACCTTTCACTGCACCGATCCGCCGGACGATTTCGCACCGCCGCCCGCCATCTATCGACCCCCTCCGATGCGCGGAAGTATCGCTTAGCTGACCCGCCGCCAGATGGTGCGCCAAGGCTGTAACGACCCCGGCTTTCCGCCAGCAACATGGCCACATGGTCAAGCACGTTCAGTGACGCACCTCGGAGGAATCCAGGCCGCGACACACTGCTGCCCCAATGGTAAAAGCGTTCGTGATACTGAAATGACCCTTTAAATACATGACTGCAGGCTAAGCACCCCAAAACCCTAATAGACCAGAACTACAAACATTTCGCAAAATTTGATGCACATCAAAGGCGATACTTTCAAACTTTTTAAAGCCGCACCACCGAGAAACGTTTGTGACTGATATGTACGAGCTCGACCTCGCTAGTGAACGGCACCAAAGCCGAGCAACCAAACCTTGGTAATTCGGAGAATCTTCCGCATGTCACGGATTGCCACATGTTTGAATGCTTCGCAAACGCCGCACTGGCTTCGAGATGGCCATTTCCGAGCGCGAATTGGCTCCGCTTCTGTGGTTCCGCGACCTCCTGGACCTCCTGACCGAAGCGGGCGCGTTCTCTCTGGCGCCATCGGCCCACGCCGGCTGTTTGCAACCATTTCGTTAACCACGGCCACTTTGCACCTCAACCCATAGCTACCACGCTATCTACGGTCTCCAATGCCTGTTGGCAACGTTGCGCCCCCCCCCCCCCCATCGATGCCTGGTGAAGCTGTGGTTTCTGCTGCGGATGCCGGGCCCGCAGCAACTCAGAGGCCACCGTCGCGTAATTGAAGCGGCGTTTGAAATCGGCCCGAGGCCAGTACAGACCATGGGGTGCGGCCTGGTCCCCGGTCGCAGCGTTGTTCGCAGGGCCTGGCTCCCGCACGCTGGTCGAGAAGGCGGCCAGGGTGCGCACGTCCCGTTCTAACTTCCGACACCAGCTTATCATTGCACAGACACGCCCTGGAAGACTGGCACGGTACCAGACGGCCAAGACGGTACCAGACGGCCTTTGCGGCTATCACAAAATAATGTGTTTTGTTTTGTCCAGCGCGGTGGGTTCTAGCCACCAGGAACTCTCGACGAAGTGATGGCATCATGTTAACATCGCGTGGTGGTCCAAAGTTGGTGGAAGTCAGGCAGAACCCCGCAACTTTTTCGGTCAAGCACAATGCACCGTGGTTCTCGGCATCGATGGTTCACTTGGTAAATGGCCTAACAATAAACAGACACAGCAGCTGCCGCTTTTTTTGCACGGTTAATCGATTGGCCCTTTGTTTGTTATCTCGCCTTTAGAACACGACGGTGAAGTCATAAGCCCGAAAAAGCAGCTTGTTGTTCAAGCACGCGTAAAAATTATCCGTAACGTGCTGTCGATTGGTGACCGACTACTACCAGACTATTGACCAACAAGTACCTGATAGCCAACTATTTCATCTGCAACATTATCTCCCGCAGCCATCCTTTAACATCAGATCCCGTGGCCGTCCCTTGAAATGATTCCCCGTAACCGTCACTTAAAACGATTCCCCGCGGTCGTCCCTTAAAACGATTCCCCGCGGCCGTCCCTTGAAATGATTCCCCGTGACCGTCCTTTACCATGATCTTCCGTGGCCATCCTTTAACACGATCTCCCATGGCCACCCCCTAACATTGCCCCGCGTGGCAGTCTTTTAACATAATCCGCCGTTTCACGGAGCGCATCGTTCTCATCTTGTCCTCCTGACACGGTTGCTTTCTACGAAAACTCGTTCGACCCCATGCACGCGACGCGCCCCACGGCGGGCGCAGAAGTCGTCGGCGAAGTGTGTGAGCGTGTCGGCCGGCGAAGGCAGCGAACACAGTGCAATACAGCGAAGAGCGTGACTTACCGATGCCGGGCATCACGCTGAAGGTGAAGAACAGCAGCTCCATCGAGTCTGCGAAGTAGCTGAGCATGAAGCCGGCCGCCGACAGCAGTGCACCTGAAGACGGCAAGGCAGGGTCAGGGTCGGGTAGGGGTCGTGTCAGGGTCGGGTGGGGGTTGCGTCAGGATTGGGTGGAGGTCCTGTCAGGGTCGGGTAGGGGTCGTGTCAGGGTCGGGTAGGGGTCGTGTCAGGGTCGGGTAGGGGTCGTGTCAGGGTCGGGTAGGGGTCGTGTCAGGGTCGGGTAGGGGTCGTGTCGGGGTCGGGTAGGGGTCGTGTCGGGGTCCGGTAGGGGTCGTGTCAGGGTCGGGTAGGGGTCCTGTCAGGGTCGGGTAGGGGTCGTGTCAGGGTCGGGTAGGGGTCGTGTCAGGGTCGGGTAGGGGTCGTGTCAGGGTCGGATAGGAGTCGTGTCAGGGTCGGGAAGGGGTCGTGTCAGGGTCGGGTAGGGGTCGTGTCAGGGTCGGGTAGGGGTCGGGCGGGGGACGTCTCAGGGTCGGGTAGGGGTCGTGTCAGGGTTGGGTGGAGGTCGTGTCAGGGTCGGGTAGGGGTCGTGTCAGGGTCGGGTAGGGGTCGTGTCAGGGTCGGGTAGGGGTCGTGTCAGGGTCGGGTAGGGGTCGTGTCAGGGTCGGGTAGGGGTCGTGTCAGGGTCGGGTAGGGGTCGTGTCAGGGTCGGGTAGGGGTCCTGTCAGGGTCGGGTAGGGGTCCTGTCAGGGTCGGGTAGGGGTCGTGTCAGGGTCGGGTAGGGGTCGGGCGGGGGACGTCTCAGGGTCGGGTAGGGGTCGTGTCAGGGTTGGGTGGAGGTCGTGTCAGGGTCGGGTAGGGGTCCTGTCAGGGTCGGGTAGGGGTCGTGTCAGGGTCGGGTAGGGGTCGGGCGGGGACGTCTCAGGGTCGGGTAGGGGTCGTGTCGGGGTTGGGTGGAGGTCGTGTCAGGGTCGGGTAGGGGTCGTGTCAGGGTCGGGTAGGGGTCGTGTCAGGGTCGGGTAGGGGTCGTGTCAGGGTCGGGTAGGGGTCGTGTCAGGGTCGGGTAGGGGTCGTGTCAGGGTCGGGTAGGGGTCGTGTCAGGGTCGGGTAGGGGTCGTGTCAGGGTCGGGTAGGGGTCGTGTCAGGGTCGGGTAGGGGTCGTGTCAGGGTCGGGTAGGGGTCGTGTCATGGTTGGGTGGAGGTCCTGTCAGGGTCGGGTAGGGGTCGTGTCAGGGTCGGGTAGGGGTCGGGCGGGGGACGTCTCAGGGTCGGGTAGGCGTCGTGTCAAGATCGAGTCAACGCTATGTCAGGGTTAGGTCAGGCTAAGACCATGCTGAGGCTGGGTGAAACTCATTCCAGGTCAAAATCGGCTGAGGAATATATCAGCTCAAGGTCAGATCACTACAGCTGGCTGAAAAACACCTAATCTCTATGCATACGAGGCGCAAGGAATACATCGCATCTAGTTTGACAGCGACCACCAGCCGTGTGCGACCGGGGCAGCAAAACAAACAACGAATGGTCCGCGTTGTGATTACAGCACAGACGAGTCTTGTCACAGAACTGCGCGCTCGGAGCACTACGCGCCTTGCGAGCGGCGCCCAGATCAGCTGCTGGGCGTCGGTGACCTATGGCTGAGCCTGACCTTGGTTCTGACCTGACCTGACCTTGACCTGACCATGGTCCTGACCCTGACCTGACCATGGCCCTGACCCTGACCCTGACCCTGGGCCTGGCCCTGACCTGACCCTGACCCTGACCCTGGCTCTGACCCTGACCTGACCATGGCCCTGACCCTGACCCTGACCCTGACCCTGACCCTGGCCCTGACCCTGACCCTGGCACTGACCCCGACACCTGACCTGAACCTGACCCTGGCCCTGACCCTGACCTGGACACCCTGACCCTGATCCCGACACCTGAACCCGACGCCCGACCCCGCCCCTGACCCTGGTGGGCGCTGGACGTACCGGCTACGGTGGTGCGTCGACAGCCGAACCTGTCCACCAGCGAAGAGGCCACCGGTCCCAGCAGCAGCGGCAGCGCCAGGAATATGCTGCCCAGCCAGGAGGTGGTGCCTGCCGCGGCGCGCACAGTCACGCCCTGGCCGCCGGTCTGGTCAGCACGGCGCACCGAGACACACGGCGCTGACCCGGCAGGTCACTGGGCAGCTCAGACGAGCACAGTGTGAGGCGCCGGCGCTCACTGCGGACGTGTTCCCTACCCTGGTCACGAAAACACATCCGTTTTAAAATACTTGTAATAGAACACAATACAAGAGACACCTTACTTGGCATGGTGTTATTCATCGACTGATGATTACCACTTGACACAAAGGAGAACATGATTTGCATAACAGATGTGCGCGATTACCATTTGGCGAAAGACAATTCGGCAGCACACTCCACACCAAGCCATGCAACCTCTGCACACCCTTTCCGTCCAGGCTGGACAGGTTTGGTGAAGGGTTTAAATATATCACTGATCATTTTGGATTGAAGACCTTAACGTTGCGCACGCTGATACAGAGCAACGGTAAAACAATACGGAGCAAGATCAATATTGAAACATTGGCTACATTACAGAGCAACACGCATGCTACATGTGTGATTGGCGTGGCGTCACGTGTTCGGGGCGGCTAACGTACCGAGGCAGTCCACAGTGCCCAGCTGCCAGGCCGACGACGGACAAGGTTCCGCATCGCTCACTTTTGGAGGCGCCGAAATAGCGCAGAAACTCCACGAAGAACACGCCGAAGGAGAAGCAGATGCCGTCGGCGATCATGTTGATGGTGAAGGCGGCCACAACCACCACCCAGCTGTGGCCCAGAGTCGGCCGTCAGCAGAGGGAGGGGGAAGGGGTGGCTGGGCCGAGCGGCGGCGCCAAGCCAAAGACTCGCCAGCGCTCCGCGCTTGACCACCGCGCGCGACACGCACACACACAACATCCCCACTCACACCCACACCCACAACACCCACGCCACATGGAGAGCCGGCACCGCGGGTCCCGACACTTAGGAGCCCAGCAGCGGCAGGAGGCGAGCAATAGTACCACCACTGCTTTCCTCTGAGTCGATCCAGCGGGATTTGTAATGTGTCGAACAAAGATGTCTCAACACGCAAGTTTGATTCTAAGCAGGGGCAACCAAGAGGAGTGTTATGTCACCTTCGTGCAAAGAATGTGCAAGGCGCAGAAGGTGAATCATACAAAGATGGTGCACATAGGGGTAGTCAATCAGCATGCGACTGCCCACTAGCCGACCGATTTACCAAATTGCTCCGAATAATGTGAGCCGACATTTGGCGTTCACACAAGTCATTGGTGAGCCTCTGGTTACCAGTCATAGGGCTGCCAGCGCCCGCAGTCGGAACTCCAGGTGAGCAAGCGTGCTGTTTGACGAGTCTCGTGGGCCAGCGCCATGGTTAGTTGGCCAGATGCGTGTCAAGACGTCAGTATTTCATCTCGATGTGGGTGGAAGATTATTTTAGTTTATATAGTTATAAAGATTAAGTAAATGCTTGCTAGCACCCTGGCATTGCTTGTTGGGAACTTAAGAGCACAGGAGAGTCATGCAGTCAGATTCTACAAGCCACAGCGAGGCGAAACTGCAGACCATTTTGTTATTTTAGCCAAGACCCGAGATCGCTCTCGGTTGGAAAGAAGTAGTAGCAGGATGTATTTCGTACAACTGGGACAGCTAGTGTCGTTGTGAACCGCGTATAATGTTGGGTACAAATGGTTCACAAAGTACTCTTTTTCCACATAATTCGTCCACGTGGCCTTTCAAGTGATAAAGTTACTGGAATGTTAGGGGAAGGTTCTCAATGTGGAATTTATGTACACCAATTGTTTGATGGAAGTCAGCTACATCTTGGAGATTGATAACCTTCTACCTTAAAAAACTGATTCTCAGCTGGTTGAGATATTCGAGATCATGCATGTCTCAGTCTTTTATCTTTTCTGGAAGGCGAAGACCCAATGCAGTTTTGCCGTCCGAAGGCGAAAAGGCCTCAGAGCCATCGGTTAACATCGCACTTTGCCTTCGGACGGCGAAATTGAGACGCATGAATTTCCCGCAAACAAGGCTAGAAAAGTCTTGACACGGAATAACTGGGGCGTTTTAGAGCTTGTAAGCAGTTTTCTGGCGAACGTGACACATTGATGATGATGATTTGGGGTTTTAGGGCGCATCGACTGCTAAAGGTCATGCAGCGCCCATAACGTGACACATTGCTCCACCTTTGGTATGTTTCGTCTGATAATATCCGCTGCGTTAATGATGTGTGTGGCGTGCTTTATGGTGCTATCCATCCTCACTCATAGGCGCTCCCAATTAATTTTAGATGTATTGCAAATTGTTCCATATCGCCCGTAAACGTGTTTGGTGCAATGAGACCCTGAAAACTAACGGAGATCCACACTGAAATTCGGGATATCATTTCACTGGCAATGTTTTGAAACTCAATACAATATTTCACTTTGTCACAATGGCTATGACGTCGGCATAGAAGGCACAGAATTGTTGACCTCATGTCGGGAGCATTATTAACATATGAGATGAAATAACTGTGCCCAGTATGAAGCACTGTGAGACACCCTATCACAACACTGGGCTCCTACCGCCTAATATCATTTATTTTGAAACAATGACTTCAGCTTTTCAGACGAGATCTGAAAGATAGCCATGGTTTACCTAGCATTCTACAATTGTAATATTAATTTGGAAGAATGTTAGACAATACAGTACCACTTATTCGCCGCACGCCCAAATTGTTCCTCGCAAACTACTTCATCCAAGGACATATATCGTCGTGAAAATGGCCAACCTCCTATCTGAGATTGGTGGCCTAAGGCCAATCTCCTATCCAAACACCGTTAGCTCACGGCAGCCACTGGCGCTTGAGCTCGGCCAGGCCACCTCTGACGGGACGGTCAACAGCCGTGACCTGGCGTGTGCTGTGTTGTTGGGCTGTCGGTGCCTCCCCTCTGGGTACGTCACCAGGCGGGCCTGCCAGCTGGCAGCGGCACGTGGGCGGCGCCCAGCGCGGCCGGAGCCGGTGTCGAGCCGACCCAAAACGGACACAGACAACGCCGTCATGACATCGCGTGATGCGAATAGGCTGCCTTGAGCCAGCGGCACAGCTGATTTCGACCGCGGTTCAGTGGCACACCTGACCTTGACCGTGGGCCAGCGGCACGCCTGATCTCGGCCGTGGGCCAGTGGCGCGCCTGACCTTGATTGTGGTCCAGTGACACCTGGCCTCGGCCGTGGGCCAGTGGCACACCCGACCTTGACCGCGGACCAGTGACACCTGACCTCGGCCGTGGGCCAGTGGCACACCTGACCTTGACCGTGGACCAGTGGCACGCCTGACCTTGACCGTGGGTAAGTGGCATACCTGACCTTGACCGTGGGGCAGTGGCACACCTGATCTTGACCGTGGGCCAGCAGCACACCTGAGCTCGGCAGTGGGCCAGTGGCACACCTGACCTTGATCGTGGGCCAGTGGCACACCTGACCTCGCCATGGACCAGTGGCACACCTGACTTTGGCCGTGGACCAGTAGCACAACTGACCTTGACCGTGGGGCAGTGGCATACCTGACCTTGACCGTGGGCCAGTGGCACACCTGACCTTGACCGTGGGCCGGTGGCACACCTGACCTTGACCATGGGCCAGCGGCACACCTGACCTTGACCGTGGGCTAGCGGGCACGCTCACTGGGCAGCCTTCGGTTCGCCGTGCCTTGATAATGTACGCTGGCCCGACCCAGCAGACGCTACATGATAATGCTGGATCTTTCGTGCGCAAACCCTGCGTTTGCTTGTACGCGCAGTTCTAATCCTTACTTCCATATACACTGTATTGTAACAACGGATGACAACTGCTCCCTATATAATCACCTCAAAACAAATGACCAGTTATAGCCGTGGCTCACTGTGAAAAGGGAACACGAAAAATCGAGAAGGACCAGGAGCCAATTTTGAACTATGTTCAACGATTTCATTGTATTCTCGTTACACGGCTTCATTTTACACCATACAGTGCACAGTTTCAGAGGTTTCCACGCATCCTTGTAGTGCATCTGAGGCGGTTCTCGCCGCAGCGAGATCAGAACGAAGGTAAGCTGAGTAGCATTATCAACGTCTCCGCCAGTGGTCTGGATCTGTCGCCATACTCTGCCGTACAGGGGGCCAGCAAGTCATCCGGTACAGCGTGACCTTTAAGTTTGGAGTTACGTATCGCGCTCAGGCCGCGCAACACTGTCAACTGTAAACACCGCCTTTTGAGAGCGGGGTACGAGCATAATAACTGTCGAGTCCATCCCTTCCGCATGCGCCGCGTCAACAGCTGTGAACAACGCGTGTCGTTATAAGGCTTCTCCGTGTTGGGCGCCGCGCTCTGCGTGTCCCCAGCTGGGCGGGCGCCCAGCCGTGCACGAGCGGCGCCGCCGCGGCCGGCCACCTGTGTGACCCGGGGGCGGTCGCGGGACAGGTGCGGAACAGCCGGCCGGCAGTGTCGGGCGGCCGGGCGCCGGCGCGGCGCGGTCACGCGCGCCTCCTGACCAGATGATTGGGCGTCGGGGAGGGGTACGCCGGCCTGCGCGGGGCGACTGACCGCAGCGCAGCCGGTGAGAGGTGCTCCTCTCCTTCCACCGGGAGGTGCTCCTTTCCCTCGAACGAGAGGTGCTCCTTTCCCTCCGTCGGAAGGTACCTCTTGTCTTCCACCGGGCGGTCCCCTCCCCTCCACCGAAAGGTGCTCCTCTCCCTCCACCGAGAGGTGCTCCTCTCCCTCCACCGAGAGGCGCTCCTCTCCCTTCACCAAGAGGTGCTCTTCTCCATACACCGAGAGGTGTTCCTCTCCGTCCACCGAGAGGCGCTCCTTTCCCTTCACCGAGAGGTGCTCCTCTCCCTCCACCGAGACGTGCTCCTCTCCTTCACCGAGAGATGCTCATCTCCGTACACAGAAGTCCTTTCTCTCCAACGATAGATCCTCGTCTTCCATTCCCAGAGCTCTTCTCCCCTCTATCGAGTGTTTTGACATTTTGCAGGTAATCTTTAGTTTTAATCATCATTTATCATTTACCATTACGTCATACCATCGTATCATACCATAATTTACCCAAGACTGTTTTACCTTTTTCAGCAGCATATTAGGAAATCGCATGATTGCAACGAAAAGGCTAAAAGTAAAATGCAACATCACAATAGGGGCATAAACATTTATTAACTTTGGTGCAAGCTAATTTCTTTTTGTGTGCAACATACTTCAGCGTTCACCTAATGCTTAGTGGCAATGCAACACACTAGCAATAGATGAGCGCGTAAGCGAAGACTTCTAAACCTTGCATGTCTCCGGCCAACTTTCATCACTGGCCTACAAAGTCGATTTTTATACACTTTTTATGCAATGTCGATGTCCATTCGCAGCTCTGTTAATGCACATCAAACATGTTTTATCAGCGGGAGCATGTGCCCCTGTGTCTCCTCCATGAATGAACGACTGGCAATTGGCATTCCGGTGGCAAGCATTTCAAGAGAGAAAACAAAATTACATCGGCCGAGGTATTTTTGAAAAAAGAAATGTGTTAGAAGACGATATGTGCTCACTCTGTAATTTAGAACTTGAAAATATCGTGTATTCGGGTTGGGATGTCCCAAAGTTCAAAGATTCATGCAACGAACAAACGACGAATCGTTTAGAACTTTCATAATTAGAAACAACAGCGTGCCATAACTGCTTCAACGTCGTTTTTCCAAGAGGTCTGGCGCGCCTGGGAGCCATGGTGACTGCCTTAGCCAAACTTGTACTATACAAATATCAACTGAAAAGAATTAAATCATTTATTTGCCACCTTATCAAACAGATCACGGCGGCAGAGGTGGAACACCTTAAGCGCGATGAAATGTAAATGCATAAATCATATCACTGCATTTTCAAATGCATAAGGACGTAAAACATAATGCACGAGGACGTAAAATATAATGAACGAAAACGCAACGATATAAGCACAGACACCAAGGCACAAAAACACAAAACAGCAGAATACACGCGCACGTCACAGCAAATCCCACGCTAACAAAGGCGTTTAAACACATACTGCAGCAAGCTTCATCCTTGTAAAATCAAACAGTGCGAGCTTATGCAGATTGTTTACACGCAGAATGTAGTGTGTGTGCTTGCATGCTTATGTGATGGGTAAATGCGCTCTCATAATAAAATAGCCCTTCAGCTTCCGGACCCACTTCGCTCAGTCCTTGGTGCCTGTGAGGGCCAACGTACGCTGTTGGTTCAGTGCGTCCAGCGGCAGTGTGATGGGGCTGTGATGAGTGCCCAACGCCCGCCGCCCGCCGGCTGCTCCGGCCGGCAGCGAGTATTCCCGCGCGGCCCTCCCGAGCAGCGGGCACTCACCCCCAGCCGCCGTCGGGCGCGTGCCGCTCCAGCGTCACGCACTCGTCGTCGGGCGAGGTGGAGTCGCTCAGGTGGGAGGAGGACGAGGCGGTCCGGCGCCGACCTGGAACAGGTCAGGTCGGCGCGGGTCACCGGTGACGTCACAGCACCCGTGGGTAGCCCGCCGGCCCCAGACCGCACCTCGCCAGTCGGCTCCGGTCGCAGCCAGGCCGCATCACTGTGCACGCACGACGTGTACTTCCCCCAGATGGCAGGATGGGCTCATGTGCTCCTCGTCTCTGTGTGTAGCGTTCAAGGGGCCGCGCTAATGTGAGCGCAACAGCTTACAGTGATAAGCTCCGCCACGGTGCGCGTTGAGCTGGTCGCGGCGCGCGCCACGGTGGACAGAGAACGGCATACACCACCGGCAGCCTCGCGCCACACGTCATGCGGGGTTCCGTACCCCGTCACACGACAGTGACACGGGGTCCCGTCACACGACAGTGACACGCGGGTCCCGTGTCCCGTCTCGTGTCCCGTCATACGGCAGTGACACGCGCGTCCCGTACCCCGTCACACGACAGTGATACGGGGGTCCCGTCACACGACACTGACACGGGGTCCCGTACCCCGTCACACGACAGTGACACGCGGGTCACCGTGTCCCGTCACATAACAGTGATACCGGGGTCCCGTCACGACAGTGACACGCGGATCCGTATCCCGTCACACGGCAGCGACACGCGGATCCGTACCCCGTCACACGGCATTGACACGCAGATCCGTACCCCGTCACACGGCAGTGACACGCGGATCCGTACCCCGTCACACGGCAGTGACACACAGATCCGTACCCCGTCGCACGGCAGTGAAACGCGGATCCGTACCCCGTCACACGGCAGTGACGCGCGGATCCGCACCCCGTCACACGACAGTGACACGCGGATCCGTACCCCGTCACACGGCAGTGACACGGGGGTCCGTACCCCGTCACACGACAGTGACACGCGGATCCGTACCCCGTCACACGGCAGTGACACGGGGGTCCCGTGTCCCGTCACACGGCGGTGACACGGGGTCCCGTCACACGGCAGTGACACGCGGGTCCCGTGTCCCGTCTCGTGTCCAGTCACACGACAGTGACACGCGCGTCCCGTGCTCCGTCACACGGCGGTGACACGGGGTCCCGTGTCCCGCCACACGACAATGACGGGCTTCAATCGTCACAGGCGAAATCGATACAGTTGTGATTCCGGCTATACTGTTATGCATCCAGCCAAAGATAGACGACCCGACCGGCCCAGGGAGTGGCTGATGCAATGCTTTGGAATCCGCGCAAAACTGCGGTGCAGAACCATCGGCATGGCGTGCCAGGCCTGTTAGAAATGTTACTGGTCGAATGAAGCAGGTTGGACATATATTTAAGGAGTGACAAGGAAATCATGGACGCCCAATATAGTCTATGACGAAGGCGTCAAGAGGATCAATGCGTCTGGCTTTTTCTTTTGCGACTTCAACTTGAGCATTTCACAGCAATTTAACGTCATTACTGTCGTTAGAAATTGTGGTAAGGAGCACATGTCATTGCAAAAGTACATCGAAAGCTTCCATTTGACAACTTGTCGCCCTCATGTCCTGTACAGCCAACACGATGCATTCAGGAAAGAACGTCTCACACATGGACGACAAAGCGGCCGCATCTAGTTCCCAAGGCTGGCTGTCCCACTTGACTACATTTCAACGCAAATTAACAGATGTTATATGATGAAAGTTTGCGATGTAATGATTCCCCAGCTACGATCTTTTACTTTCTCATAGCCTGTTCTGCCGTCCAAAGACAAAAACCCTAAGAGTCTTTAGTTAACGTAGCACATAAGCCTTTTAGCCTTTCGGACGCCAGTATTCATCAGGGAAAACAGCCAGGGCCATTCCATTTGGCTTGGACCAGTGACGTCAACCCTGGAGCTCGGCTCCAAACTGCATTTGGGTACCGTCACCAGCGTCGCCCTGCGACTGACCTCGCTTGGGTCGGGCGGGCGCAGCGGCGGCGATCTTGAACCTGACCTGCGGCGTGCCGCCGGGGCGGGCCGCGCGCGCGGCCGGACTCGGCGGTGCCAACGGTCCGGGCCACGCTGCGGCACGCGCGCAGCCTTGTGAGGAGACAGCGCAGCACGAACAGTGCAGACGGCGGGGAGGACTGAAAACACCGTTCGGCCGGACTCCGCGCTGCCAACGGTCCGGGCCACGCTGCGGCACGCGCGCAGCCGTGCGAGGGGACAGCGCAGCACGAACAACAGTGCGGGGAGGACTGGGACACATGTGGAGAGCAGGCCCGTACACCGACAAGGGGTGGCATGTCAACTGAGGGTTTGGAGTACTGGAACACCGACATAGGGTTGGTAGGACAGACTGGCACGAGGCAATACGCACACACCACCACACACACACACACAGAGACTAACAATGGGGAGGCTGCGAGCGAGACCGCAAACTACTCACGCAGGTACACCAGAGGTGTAAGGGAGCACGGTCAACGAGCGAAACAGGGGATCCGAGCAACCGACCGACATGGGCCTGAATTACTGCAGCGGGGTGAGAGGAGAGAACAGAGCACCAACAGCGGATGAAGGAGAACACAAAGGTGTGTAAGAAAGCGACTGGACAATCAGCAGACACATGCAAGAGGGGGTAATCGGGACCAGTAGTCGCATACGGAAGGCTGAAACGTTCAACGGATGCCCGAGGGAGAGGCAACTGTGACGACAGCAGAGGGACGAAGGATTAATCGGTGCGCAAAGGCGCAAACCTCTGACTGTGAAACGCACAAGAAAAGAGCCGACACATGTCAGCATGAGACGATGCATGCAAATCATCACGCATGAAGCACAACCGACGAGAACACAATGGCACTTTGCTCCATCCGGATGTCTGTGTCTTGTCTGCCTGTGCGACTGGCCGCCCCCGGGCGCTGAGGACAAGGAGGACACCTACCCTTGAGCGAGCTCTTGGCGCCCCCGTTGGCGGCGGCCTGCACCGGAGAGTCCGGGCACTGCTCCATGGCGCGCCGGCGCGGCTCACGAGCCGGGCAGGTACCAGCGGGGCCAGCAGGTTAGCAGGGATGAGCAAGGCCTGCAGCAGGTCAGCAGGGCCTCCAACAGGTCGGCAGCAGGACCTCCAGCGGGTCAGCAGGGCCTCCAGAAGGTTAACAGCAGTGCCTCCAGAGGGCCAGCAGGGCCTCCAGAAGGTCACGCAGACCTTCAAAGGGTCAGGAAAGCCTCCAGCAGGTCTGTAGGGCCTCCAGCAGGCCGGACGGACCTCCAGCAGCAGGTCTTCTGAGGCTGACAGCGGCGACCGTCAGCGGACGCTCCCGAGGGCAACGCGGCGTTCACACGTCATCACGGACTGGCCTTCAGGGCCGTGCGGCCCGGCGGCCGTAGGCGCCCGGCGGGGGTCAGCCGCCGCCGCCCGCTCCCACCCCGCTGCGCTCCGAGGGCGCCGCGCTCACCGACACCGGTGCGCGTCACACGCGCGCCGCTCGCGAGACCACCGACCGTGGCACTTGCTTATCACCGGAGCTGCCATTCGCCATGGCCAACGCGCCCGTCGGGCGCCACGGCCGCGGAAACTGCGCTCTAAAGGCCACGTCGGTGCGGCGGCCGGGCCGCCCGGTCTCCGTCGGCGCCACAGCTGCACTCTAAAAACCCTAAACAGCCAGCCGTAGGTGCCAGCTTGTCCGGACCTGGCCCAGCAGCGCCGTCGGACGGTGTCCCTGCCGCCCCGGCTCTGGCGAGTACTGGCGCTGGCTGGATGAGACGCGCGGCCGGCTGCGTGTGACGTCACTCAGTGGGCGGGGCGAGATGACGGTCGCAGCAGACGTCACCATACTCGGGTCACGGCATCAGAGGTCACCACCTGCAGGGCAACCGCATAGGTGTGAGGGGCGTGCATGCATACACAACATGCCCATGTACTGCACGTGTTATACAAGGTTGTCGATATATGTACATCTGCATGTATATCAAACGTAATGCCAACACAATACATGGTTCATCGCTGGCTCGTGCCCGAAAAAGTCGGCGCCCCAATAACACAAATATGTCCACTTCAGCACTCATATATCAGATTGGCTTAAATCGGATACAACTGCACACAAGGTTTGGCATACGCCAAAGCGCGGGGGGCTGCCAACTCAGCGAGCAGAAAACGCCTGATAGGCAAACCCTTGCGCTGCCCGCCCCGCGACCAGTCTCTTTGTGGTGATCGGTCATTCAAGTCGGGTCACCGCTTCATTCAGAACCGACGAGGTCGGATGGCTGTAACCAGCCGTGCGCACGTGCCAGTGACCCGCGGTCAGCGACTCGCCATCAGCGACTCGCCATCAGCGACTCACCGTCAGCGACTCGCCATCAGCGACTCGCCATCAGTGACTCGCCATCAGCGACTCACCGTCAGCGACTCGCCATCAGCGACTCACCGTCAGCGACTCGCCGTCAGCGGCTCAGTACACGGCAGCGCCCTGATCTCGCTGGGGAGTCCCCGCGTTCCACAATCGGCGTGACGTCAGCGAATGCTTGCCCAATCAGCGAATGCTTGCCCCCCCCCCCCCCCCCCCCATCCCCTCTTCGCCAGACGCGGCGGGACTCGCCCGGGGCCGCGCGCCCGCTCCCTCGTGTGGGGGGCGGCGAATACTGCGGATGTCGCACAGCAGTTTCGCAGCACGACGGCGGCGAGACGCTATCACTACCGGCTGCGAGCCGGACACACCTGTCGCTGGGATCGGCCGGGACGCGTCCATAGACCGGGCTGACTGTGCCGCTGGAAGGGCCTGACTGCGCCCCCTGGCCGGGCTGACTGTACCCCCGAATTGGGTTGACTGCGTCCCAGTACCGGGCTGACTGTGCCCCTCAGTCAAGCTGACTGTGCCCCTCAGTCAAGCTGACTGTGCCCTTCAGTCAAGCTGACTGTGCCCTTCAGTCAAGCTGACTGCACCCCTCGGCCGGTCCAGCCGCGCCCCTCGGTCGGGCTGGCTGCACCCCTCGGCCGGTCCAGCCGCGCCCCTCGGTCGGGCTGGCTGCGCCCCTCGGTCACGCTAGCTGCGCCCCTCGGTCGGGCTGGCTGCGCCCCTCGGTCGGGCTCACTGCGCCCTTCGGCCGGTCTGACTGCCACTCGGCCGTGACTGCGCCCCTCGGCCCGCCCCGCTCCATACAACACGGCTATCGGTCGGACTTTGAGCCGGCCGACGCAATCAAGTCCGCCGGGCCCAGCGCAGCCAGTTCAGTACTGTCGGAGCGACTCCGTGTGCCAGCCCCTCGGTGCGCGGCTGCCTGTGAGCGAACAGCGCACCCGACAACAGCTGCTTGCCGACGACGGACAGCAGCTGGTCGCTGACGGCAGATAGCAGCTACTCGCTGACGGCGGACAACAGCTGCTCGTTGACGGCACACAACAGCTACTCGCTGACGGCGGACGGCATATTCTCCCTGGACACCAGCCTCCAGTGGACAAGCCGCCAGGTGGATAACCGCCCCGGGCGAGCCGGGCGTGCACGGCCGCGCGTGCAGACGAGCCTCTGTCGGAGGACGGGCGCCAAGTGGCGCCATCAGCTGCAGACTAACTGCCCAACCCTTCGGTCGCCATGCTGTGGCAGGCGGCGGCGGCGGCGGCGGCGGCAGCGCTGCTGTTGCTCTGCCGGTGGATCGTGGCTTTCAGCCGTCGAACACCGCAGCGCATGTTCGCCGTGTACACGCAGCCGGACGCCTCCTTCTACCCGAAGATGGCCGCGTTCTGGCTGCTGCTGCGCCTGCGCCGACTGTGGGGGTCTCCCGGCGGCGGCGGCGAGCAGGCCGGCTACGGCGTGGGCTCGCGCGCCTCCGCCGCCGACATGGAGCGCGTGCAGCCGCTGGCCGAGGCGCCCCAGAGCCTGGACGCCGTGCTGATCCAGGGCGCCGACGGCGCCGGCGCCTGGCTGGTGGCGGCGATGGCGCGCCGGCCCCACGGGGTGCTGAACGTGATCGGCATCGTCTCGCTGCCAGGCGTGGGCACGCTGCTGCTGCCCCGCCACCCGGACACCACGCTGTTCGGCGGCGAGACGGCCCACGCCGGCGGCGGCTTCTCCTTCCGCCGTATGGAGCCGATGCGCCGCTGGAAGCTCGACTTCACCGGCCAGATGCGCGTCAGCGAGAGCGGCGCGCTGGTGGACGTGACGCTCGACCTGACGTACACCTCTGACCTGGCGCACTTCGACTTCGACACGGACATGGCGCCGCTGGCGGTGGCGCGCGCCATGGCGCGCGAGCCTTGGAGCCGCGAGTTCTTCGCGCGGCTGCGCGACGCCCACCAGACGCACTACGAGCAGATCGGCACGACGGAGGGCACAGTGACCGTCGACGGCCGGCCGCACGCGCTGCGCGTCACCGGCATGCGCGACCATAGCTACGCACGCTGCCGCGACTGGACGCGCCTCCACCGCTACGGCCTGCACACGCTGATCGTGGAGGACGGCACCCGCGCGCAGGTCGGCGTCGTCTCGCAGCCGTACTCGTTCTCGCGGATCGAGCTCGGGTACGTGTACCGGCCGGACGGCTCGCTGCACGCGCTGGAGTGGTGCGACCTCGAGCTGGGCTACCACGGCGAGCAGGGCGCCGAGCCGCGCGACTACGGCTTCAGCTTCGGCGCCGGCGGCCGCACCTACCGCGTGCTGGTCAAGGTGGAGGAGAGCCACACGGTGTTCATCGGCTGGAGGTGGGAGGCGCGCGTGCTGGAGCGCCGCTGCACGTACCGGGTCAACGGGGTGGCGGCGCACGGCGTGTCCGAGTGGTACTACCGGCACCGGGGCGGTAGGCCGGCGGAGTACGCAGCCGATGACCCCGCCTGGGCGCGGGACATCGAGAAGTGATCCTAACCCCGACCCCAAGATATCGAGAAGTGATGCTGACTTGAACGCACTACAGTTTATCTATCTACAGTTAGAACGCACTACAGTTTATCTATCATATTGCGAAGCAGCGTGACGCAGCGAAGCGCCGCGCATGCGCAGGAGCCACCGCCGTGTAGCCTTGGTGGGACGATCGTCTTAAGGTCCGGAGATTAATGCCGCATTTAAGACGCAGGCGGCTGTTTACGCGAACGCGATAGGCGTAACCCCGATGTCAATAAAGCGAGCGTTGCCAAGACCCACAACATTCGTTGCTCTGCCACTTGGGTGTTTCGTGTAAGTAGCCGATGTACCGAAACCTTACACCGCCACGAAGGCTCAGCTGTCACAGACAAATCGGGAAAGTCGAATGTTTGACTTCTGGTGCATTTAGGCGAAAGTCTTGGTGGAACCATGTCGCACCACGCGCTGATACTTATCTGCATGAAGAAAGCTGAAAGAAGCTTCTAGTTGAAAAAAACAGTAGTTTTCACTTCAAATCTTCTGTTCGATCGACCTGTTTGCAGAGCATCCTTCAGACAGAGCCAATCACAGCGATAGGCGCAACTCCGATGTCAATAAAGCGACCGATCAAGGCTGGTCGCTTGACCCATCCCCCCAACCCCCCCTCCTGCTAAAACATCACCCACAAACGCCAGGAGTGTAGCTGGGGAAGATAGCGGCACGGCCTCTTGTCCCCCACACCCATCCCCACACGCACGCAACGTATGTTCATTGAATTGGCGGATATTGTGACCAGTGTTCCACCCTGCGTCCGTGCATGACTGCGCCCTGGCCGATCCGTACCGGCGGTGCGAGGGTGCCCGCCCGGTCCGCCCATCCGGCTGTTGCCAGCCGGGGTCGCGCCCAGCGCTCCGCCCTGCGTCCGCGCGTGTGCGCACCCTGGCCGATCCGTACCGACGGCGCGAGGGTGCCCGCCCGCTCCGCCCATCCGGCCGTTGCCAGCCGGAACGGTGCGGCGCCCGCACGACACAAGCCTGCCGCCACACGACACCGGGTCCGTGACCTCCGCCAAACCAGCTGAGCGCCCGGCCGGCCCGGATCGCTGCACGGTCCGCCGGCCGTGCTGCAGCCTCCCTCAGCACGGCCGCCGCCGACGCCGGTCCTGAGCCATGGGGATGGGCGGCGGCAGGCCCCAGATTAGGGTCTGCGCTCGGGAGAGGACTGTGCATCTCAAGGGCGTCCGCTGTCAGCGTCACAGCCTCTCACAAGACGCAGGCTGCTCTGGCGGCGGGCACATAAGCAGCTTCACAAGGTTACACTTGCCAGCGGTGCAGCGCCGGCACTGCCGTCAGACACCGCTGACGTTGCGTGTGGAAGACCGCGCGTCATATCCCACAGCCTGCAGCCGGCTTCACGAGACTGAGGCGTCTGCCTGGGCGGACGGTCTGAGGGTCCGTGACCCCTTGCCTGGACGGATGGTCAGAGGGTCTGTGTCCCCCCCCCCCCGCCTAGCCGGACACTCAGAGGGTCCGTGACCCCCTGCCTGACCGGACCGTCAGAGGGTCCGTGACTCTCCTGCCTGGGCGGATGGTCAGACGGTCCGTGACTTCCTGCCTGACCGGACCGTCAGAGGGTCCGTGACCCTCCTGCCTGGGCGGATGGTCAGACGGTCCGTGACTTCCTGCCTGACCGGACCGTCAGAGGGTCCGTGAGCCCCTGTCTAGGTGGATGGTCAGAGGGTCCGTGTCTCCCTCCCTGGCGGACAGTCAGAGGGTCCGTGACCCCCCGGCCCCGGCGAACGGTCAGGGGGTCCGTGGCCCCTGGCTGGCCGAACGGTCACAGGGTATGTGACCCCCTGTCTGACCGGGCGGCCGTAGTCCATGACCCTCTGCATGGATGGGGGGGGGGGGGCGTGCCGTCGGGACCGGCACATAACCGGTCACCAGACCAGCTGGCCTCGGCTGCCGTCGCTGCAGAACGGCCCCATCTTCACCACCCTGTATACGTCAATAAATCGGTCACCGCGCCAACAGAGCCGACACGAACACGAAGCCGTGCACCCGCTGAAGAATAACAACAGAGCGCAGGCGGTGAAGAATTCCAACGTGAGCGGCCTCACATGGACCGGTCACCTGGCCATCCGCCAGACCAATGGCGACTCGTGTCAGCAGTTGCCATGGCGACGGTAGCCAGCCGGGCACGGGCCCAGTCCCTCCCAGCGGGGTTGCCGGCCAGCCGTCAGAACAGCCACACTGGCAACGAGCTGGCGGTCGTTCACGGTGGTCTCCCGTGGCGGGCTATTGCCGGCCGTGAAAGGGGTTGGAGTGTCGCGCGCAAGGCGAGGGGGACGCCAGGAGCACGAGCGCAGGGAACACCGGGGAACACCGAGGAACACCGGGGAACGCAGCTATCAATCGGCGGCTTTCACGGGATTTCTCATCCAGTGAAATTGGAGGCCGGAGAGGACAGCGAAGGTGCGATGCGTGGGTTGAACTGAGGCGTACGGGGAGTATAAACACCAATCTTACCGATCCGTCCGGGTCTACCGTCTGGATCAGCCCGATGGTTCTTGCGGCATGATCGTGACTTCATACAAATGACGGATATACCGAACTACAAGCCAGATACGCGCGATATGCTGGATCCGAGTGCTATAAAACAAATAGCGCAGCTCAAGGCGATCGTCAGCTGACGAGTGCATAAGCCGTGCTTGCGAGGCACAACGGCCGTTGAAAGGCGACGGTATGGCAACATCAAGCGGACGGATTGCCAACACAGTACGAAAGCCAGCCAGCACAATGCGGTGCAGCAGAGCCCAGGTGTGGCGAGGTCATGTAGTGTGTACCCGGGACCGGCGGCGCCCAGGCCTCCCTGACGGCCGGCCGTCGTCACGTGCCGTTTGTTGTGTTTGGCCGGTCCGTGCTCAGCACGCCGCCAGTGGAGCGGCAGCAGCGCTCCGGGCCGCTCGCTGGGCGCGGAAAGCGCGGCACAGCCGGCAGCGGCGGTATCGCCGCACAGAGGCCCTTGTATTGGCACGCGCCCCGTGGCAGGTTAAATGCGTGCTTCTGTCGAGGACATTCTGACCCCCCCCCCCCCCCCCCCACCCTTCCTCAGATATCAAACGCTAGCAGACCTAGAGACCACAAATGCACGAGTTAGACTAGGCAGGACTCTATGTGAACTGGTTGGGTGCAATTGTTATGTCGGTGTGTCGTGACCTTCAGATCAGCTGCAGTAAAACAAGGCCAAACTCAAAATCAGTGTCGGAAGTACCCTCAGAGCTTCTCATGCAGCCACTTTTAACTTCGATAACTTTTCCAAGCAAAGGACAGCCAGGATCATTTCACATTAAACCTTATTTCACCTCTTGGTGAATGTTTCAAAAAACCGGACCACTTGTATTTTAAATTTTACGTTAGAATTTGCATTAAAATCTTAGGATCAAGAGCTTTCCGATATGGTAAGTTCCCCAAATGAAAAGGCTCATTAAGGTACCTTCAGGTCAGTGAACTCCAATGATCATCGTAAGACAAACTTAAGGAAGGTGGTGACTTGTTAGTGATCCTGCACGTTGGTAATGAACATAAAACAACACAGGAGACAAGTTTTACAGCAAAACAACTGTCTGTTTCGCCTTTGACCCGACTGACCCTCACTGGTGACCCAAAGGCGATAGAATTACTAGTAATACCTCTCAATTGTTAAGCCGCCAAAAAAGCTATCTTAAAAATGTATGTATTCATCTGAAGTCATGGTGTAGGATTAGTTTAAAGGTCGTCCACAAAATTGGCTTTGCTGGCTGTCCTAGCTTGACACTGACCCACTATTGATCACAGAGGTGGAAATGCGTACAGGCGTAACAGGCATTTTTGCGTAACAGACATTTTTAATCGTCCACAGCTGAGCAGTTTTGGATCTCACTGCGCCGCGCCGTTCAGAACTCATTTGGGAAAACAGTCAGAGGAATGGCATTGGCCCCCATCTCCACAGCTGCACACCATCACACACCACACCATCACACACCACACCATCACAAGTCACCATTCATCGTCATGGGCCGGAGCGCGATAACAGGTGCTGCATAAGGTTACGCTCCGGGACGTGGGAGCTCAAGTGGGATTGAGTGGGATTGAGCAGGGGCTTAAGGTGCAGCTAAGAGCCCTCCTCAGTGCACGAGCAAGCGCCTCAGCCAGCCGACGGGGAGCGTGACGGTACGACACGGACCGCCCTCCCAGCCGGCCGTCTGCCCGCACATATCCAACAGCTCGCGTAAAGTGCGGACGCGGAAACCCCCTACAGAAGCGACCGGAACTCAGCAGCTTATTCACGTTCCACCGGAGCAGCCTTTTCCACCGGAGCCGGTCCCGGTCCGCCCTAACACCACTTTGCCCTGGTCCCAGTCTGCCTAGCACTAGTCTGTCCCAGTCCAAGCCTGCCCCGGCACCAGTCTGTTCCGGTCCCAGTCTGTCAAGCATCAGCCTGACCCGGTCCCAGTCTACCCAAGCACCAGTCTATCCCAGCCCTAGTCTGCCCGATCCCAGTCTGTCCGGTCCCAGACTGGCCCAGTCCCAGTTTGTCCAGTCCCAGTCTGGCGCCGTCCAGTCTGGCCCGGCCCCAGTCTGTCCAGCCCCAGTCTAGCCCCGTCCCAGTCTGGCACGGCCTCAGTCTGGCACCGCCTCAGTCTGGCCTGGTCCCAGTCTGGCTCGGCTCCAGTCTGGCCCGGTCCCAGCCTGGCCGACCCCACACGGTGTCGTGCGCGTCGGGACGAGTGGCCGCTGTGTGGCGACACGGCGCGCCCGTCCGTCCGGTACCCGTCGGCACGCGGGCGGCCGCCCGCTGACGGCGGCGCGCGGGCTGCACGGGACGACGACCGGCCGCACGGCCACAGCTGGCACCCGGCCGCTCTCCCCCTCTCCCTCCCTCTCGTGGACCCGCACAGGGGATCAATGAGAGACGTGTTGGTGATCGTGCATTGCTCGCCTGGTCGTGGTCTTTAACCATGCTTAACACCACACTTATTCCTACATGCTTGCAAGTTACCGTGCTTTCTTGCCCCGCCACCTGTTTTCTCCGCATCTCCACGACAACGTGACAGATGCATTACTGGCCACCAAAATATGCAGTGGCGCCATCTAGCCAGTGCATTATAAGGATTATGTTTGTGATAAGACTGTCATGACTCTGAACCAGGATGGAGGGGGGAGGGGGGGGGGGGGGCATTAAAGCGTGCAGTGGCGTGGAGCAACGCGGGGTATTCAGCGACTCTGCGACGGCTCGGACGACCATACGTCAAAATTCACCCGCTGACCCGGTTACCGGGTCAGCGGATGTGCCTATAGGTGAGAAAGCATAGATGCAACGGGAATGGAGGCACATAGAAGGACAGGTGAACTTTTAGTATGCAGAGCTGATTAAGGGAGCTGGCGGGGCACAAAGCGTCTCTCCTCTCCACCAGCTTAGTTCGCAAAACCACATTAGCGCTGCCCC